TATTATTATTATTATTATTATTATTATTATTATTAATTATTTTAATTATTATTATTTAAAATATTATTCTTATTTTATTAATAATAATAATAATAATAATAATAATAATAATAATAATAATAATAATAATAACATTAACTATTATTGTTCTGATTATATTATACATTATAAAATATTATTATTATAGATATTATTTAATATTATTAATCATTGTTAATGCTATTATTAAATATAATATTCTTGTTCTTAATAATAATAATAATATGAATAATAATAATAATACAGTACTAAAATATTATATTAATGAGTATTATTATTATTAGTATTAATAATAAAAAGAATAAGAATCGTATTTTTATCATATTAATAATTATACTATTAATAATAGTAAAAATAATAATAATAATAGTAATAATAATAATAATAATAATAATAATATAATGATATTAATAAAAGTAAGAATAATAATAATAAAATATTAATAATTATTAAAAATATTACTAAAATAGTTTTATTTACCATGGTATTATAATTATTAAGAATATAGAGTAAAACATAAAATGCAATCCATCAATGTAAAACTACATCTAAGAGCACAATCACAGCAGTGGCTCATTGACTGAGTATCTGAATGCTCAGCTCTTCTGTTCATCTGCTGAAGTGTTTTGTGTTTGTTTCTGCGCTCTGAGGGCCAAAGAAGCATCTTTGTGGGCTTCATCAAAAACAACCATCTGTAGTGGACAAGCTCAGATCGAGCGTTTGGTAGAGACAAAAGCCTCAGCAGGACACAATACACCAGCACCAGCACCGGCACCACACAACCACAGCCACAGCCACACCCACACCGACCCACCTACTAAACTACATCCAATCAGCTCGCAGTAAAAAAAAAAGCCACGCCCACTTTTTATCACTTAACATTATGTTTCTTTAGGAACTGCATCACAATATAAAAAAATGTTCACAGCTTCAGGTTCATGTGGAATTTATCATAAGCGCATGTGCAGATCTGAAGGCCTGAGCGATATCAGAGGACATTGAAGATGCTGAGAGCTGTGAGAGTGTTAATGTGAGTCTGCTAAAGTGCAGAGGTCACTGAGAGAAGTGCGCTTTTCACTTGTGTTTTCTCACCATCTACACTGGCTCAGGTCAGAGGAAGTGCACTTCAGTCATAACACACACAACATCACATCACGTCAACAGAGACGACTTCAAAACTCAAAAACAAGTGCTTTCGGGAAGTCTCAGGATCTCTTTTGGGGAGTTAAGTATTACAGTTTTTGGAGATTTAAAATAAAAAACAGTTTGTCAAATAAATCTTACTGAAAAAAATATATAATATGAAACAAATATTAGATTTTTACAATTGTTATTAAATAAACATAAAAATACAAGTAAAATCACCAACATTTTTGTTAAATTATTAAACATTTTTGGATGGATGGATGGATGGATGGATGGATGGATGGATGGATGGATGGATGGATGGATGGATGGATGGATGGATGGATGGATGGATGGATGGATGGATGGATGGATGGATGGATGGATGGATGTTTGAAATATTTTTGTTAAAATATTTGACATTTTAAAGAAAAAAACATTCAAATTAAAATATTAAGATTGAAATAGTAAGCATTAAAGATGAGAATCTAACTCAGAAACAACCTAAAACCATGTAAAAATATATATATTTGGTAAAAACTTGCCTGTGCAATAAATTTTTACTCATTTAACTAACTTAACATATTACATAACATAACTTAACATAACTTATTTGGATATGAAAGGATATGAATATAGTTATGGAAGGATATTATAGATGGTTAGGAAAGATATTATGGATGGATATGGATATTGATGTGGAAGGATATTATGGATGGATATGGTTATTGCTATGGAAGGATATTATGGATGGATATGGATATTGATATGGAAAGATATTATGGATGGATATGGTTATTGCTATGGAAGGATATTATGGATGGATATGGATATTGATATGGAAAGATATTATGGATGGATATGGATATTGATGTGGAAGGATATAATGGATGGATATGGTTATTGCTATGGAAGGATATTATGGATGGATATGGATATTGATATGGAAAGATATTATGGATGGATATGGTTATTGCTATGGAAGGATATTATGGATGGATATGGATATTGATATGGAAAGATATTATGGATGGATATGGATATTGCTATGGAAGGAAATTATGGATGGATAAGGATTTTGGTATGGAAAGATATTATGGATGGATATGGATATTGATATGGAAAGATATTATGGATGGATATGGATTTTGGTATGGAAAGATATTATGGATGGATATGGATATTGATACGGAATGATATTATGGATGATATGAACAGGGAAGGATGTTATGGATGGATATGGATATTGATACGGAATGATATTATGGATGATATGAACAGGGAAGGATGTTATGGATGGATATGGAAAGATATTATGGATGAATATGGATATGGATATTGATATTATGGATGGATATGGATATTGATATAGAAGGAAATAATGGATGGATATGGGAGGATATTATGGATGATATGGATGGGGAAGGATACAATGGATGGTTATATGAAAGGATATGAATATGAACATGGTTATAGAAGGATATTAAAGATGGATATGGATTGATATGGAAGGATATTATGAATGTCATGGATGGGGAAGGATATTATGGATGATGATGAATACTGATGGGAAGGATGTTATGGATGGATATGGAAAGATATTATGGAAATATATGGATGGGGAAGGATATTATGGATGGATATGGTTGGATATGGATATATATTATGTATGGATATGGATGGGGAAGTATTTGATTGGATAGAATATAGGATATGTATATTGTGGATAGATATGGAAGGATATTATGGATGGATATGGATATTGATGGGGAAGAATATTTTGGATGGATATGGATATGGATAGGGAAGGGTATTATGGATGGATATGAATATGAAACAATGTGAATATAAATATGGTTATAAAAGAATATTATAGATGGATATGGATTGATATGGAAAGATATTATGGATGGATATGGATGGGGAAGGATATTAGGGATGGATTTGGATGGATGGTGAAGGCTATTATGGATGAATATGGATGGATATGGAAAGATATTATGGATAGATATGGATGGGGAAGGATTTTATGGATGGATATGGATGGATATGAAAGGATAATATAAAAGGATATGGATGGGGGAAAATAATATGGATGTATATGGATCGATATAGATGGATAGAATGTTACAGGTTATGATGGATGGATGGATGGATAGATAGATGGATGATGGAACAAATTTAAGACCCTCAAAATACACATCATATTTATTTTTCTATAATAAATTATGCCGCATTTAATATGTAAAATATCTAAATGTCATTCTATAGACCAAATCCTCAACCATCTATATTTAACACATTTGGTTGTAGACTTTTGTTGTAATTTTTAGTATGTGCGCGCACACACGCACACACTCACACACACACACACAAACGTGCACACACACACACACACAAATGCGCACACACACACACACAAACACGCACACACACACACACACACACACACACACGCGCACACACGCACACACACGCACACACACACACACACACACGCACACACACACACACAAACACGCACACACACACAAACACGCACACACACACAAACACGCACACACACACAAACACGCACACACAATAGTTCACAACGACAGCAACTGGCAACAAAGTGTCTTCATATTTTCACTGAACTCAGCTTTATGCAAATTAGCAATGACACAATATGACGACATCCAGTGAAAATACAGCCCCAGCAGGAAAAGAAAAAAAGGAAAGGAAGGAAGCAAGGACAGAAAGGATGTAAAAGTAAGAAAGAAAGGGAGGAAGGAAGGAAAGAATGGAAAAGAAGGAAAGAAGGAAGGAAGGAAGGAAGGAAGGAAGGAAGGAAGGAAGGAAGGAAGGAAGGATGAAGTGAAGGAGGCAATGACAGCCACTGGCAACAAAGTATCCAAATATTTTCACTGAGCTCAGCTTTATGCAAATTAGTAATGACAAAATATGACGACATTCGATGAAATCACAGCAGCAGCAGTCAACAATAAACACCTACTGAAACTAATATGAGACCAATTCATCTATTAAACCCCTGTTAATGATCATTCCTCAAAACACAAACATACGATCATCAACGAACAGCCTTCAAAACATCTTAAGCCAGGCACAAGCTCAACTAATCTTCAACATACCTAAAATACACTTCTGAAATCCAGTTGATCTACAATCCACACCTTTTCCTACATCCACTGCTCGATTACAAGCTGTTCAATCCATCATTCTGGACAGATACTTCTCCAAAAGCATCCGAAACAGCATTGTGGAGGGCTGTGCTCCACCGTTCTGAAGTGAAGAGGGAATGAAGAACGTAGAGTTTGCTAAAATGCTCACAGCTGCCCGGCTAATCTGAGCCCCGTCACACAACGGCCTCATTATCATATGTAAAGAGACGCGAGCAGGCCGCTAGTCTGTGACATTCAACCTTACTGCCAAATAAAGACCAACGACACAAAGGCTTTAAAAAAAACTGCATTGTACTTGGACGCGGTAACATTTAGATGTGCAGAGATGTGTGTCGCACTGGAGGAATTTATGTGCATCTCAAGCAGACTCATGTTACTTTACAAAAAAGTCATTAAAACATTTGATAAACATCTTTAAACCAGATCATACACCTTCAGTGGGTCAATGGAAAATTACTGAGAACACTTGAAAAATGAGGAAGGGAGGAAAGAAGGAATGAAGGCAGGATGAAAAATAAGGAAGGAAGGAAGGAAGGAAGGAAAAAAGAAAGAAAGAGAGAAAGAAAGAAAGAAAGAAAGAAAGAAAGAAAGAAAGAAAGAAAGAAAGAAAGAAAGGATGTAAAATAATGAAGGAAAGAAGAACGGGAGGAAGGACGGAAGGAAGGAAGGAAGGAAGGAAGGAAGGAAAGGATGGAAAATAATAAAGTAGGACAGGAGGAAGAAAGGAAGGATAGAAAGGGATGGAAAAGAAGGAAGGAAGGAAGGAAAATAATGAAGGGAAAAAACGGGAGGATGGATAGAAGGATAGAAAGGGATGAATAAAGAAGGAAGGAAGCCAGGATGGAAAATAATGAAGGAAAGAAGGATGAGAGGAAGGACGGAAGGAAGGAAGGAAGGAAGGAAGGAAGGAAGGAAGGAAGGAAGGAAGGAAGGAAGGGATGGAGAATAATGAAGGAAAGAAGGACAGGAATAAGGAAGGAATGTTAGAAAGGGATGGAAAAGAAGGAAGAGAGGAATTGAAAAGAAGAAAGAGAGAGAAAGAGAGAGAGAGGTGGGAAGGAAGAAAAGAAGCAAGGAAGGAAGGAAGGATGTAAAGGAAAGGATAGAAAAGAAGGAAAGAAAAAAGAAATGAAAGGAAGGAAGGAAATAATTGAAAAGAATGAAAAAAGAAAAGAAAGAAAGAAAGAAAGAAAGAAAGAAAGAGAGAAAGAAAGAAAGAAAGAAAGAAAGAGAGAAAGAAAGAAAGGCAAAGGAAATGAAGAAGGAAGGACGAAAAGAAGGAAAAGCAAAGGGAAGGAAAGAAGAAAAGAAAGGAAGATTGGGGAATATGTATGACACAAATAAAATGATAAATATAAAAGTATGTTTACCTGTTAACCCCCGTCTCTCTCCAACGTCAATTCCTGTCATCACACACTCCTGTCAAATAAACAAATGAAAGTCAATTAATATTCAATAAAATTCCAAAACACATAAAAAGAGATGCGTTCACTCAGGGTAAACTCTGCAGTGACTCCTCAAACCTCATGTGTCATACAGCTGAAGTCAGAATTAGCAGCCCTCCTGAATTATTAGCCCCCGTATAACTTATTTCTAAAAACTAGGGCCAGACGAAATCTGTGGATGTTTTTTTTTTGCTATTTCTTAAGCTAAAAATCTGGGGAATTCTGGGGAAAATCTGCGGAATTCTGTGCGCACATTTTCCATGTGGGCCAACTAATAACTCCATGCCATGATGACAGCACATAATATTAGACTAGCTATTCTTCAAGATACTAGTATTCAGCTTAAAGTGACACTTAAAGCCTTATCTTGGTTAATTAGGTTAAGTTAATAAGTTGCCCAATGACTAAGGGCAAGTCATTGTATAACAGTGGTTTGTTCTGTAGACAATCCAAAACAAATATTGCTTAAGGGGCTAATAATATTGACCTTAAAATGGATTAAAAAAATTAAAAACTGCTTTTATTCTAGCCAAAATAAAACAAATAAGACTTTCTCCAGAAGAAAAAATATTATAGGAAATACTGTGAAAATTTCCTGAATCTGCTCAACATCATTTGGGAAATATTTGAGAAAGAATATTGATTATGAGTAGTCTTATAATACACACAGTGTCAAGATGATTTATTGCCTTATGTCAATAATTTATGAGTATGTTTTGGACGGTATGGTAATAATTTATGGCATGGTTTGTCCAATGTGTTTCATGAATGTAAGACTGGTGACCAATGACAGGCTGCTTTCCCCAGGTCACAGGCTTAGGGTCCCTGCTTAGTGGTAGGATTTATGACGGTTTGTCCCAAATTGACAGTTGAACCAAGTGTCGGGCTGATTTTGGCAAAGATTTACAGTATAGTTAGATTTGTGGCAATGTGTATGGTTTGTCATTTTTACAACCTATGCAGCTCTTCTGGCATTCCAGCTCCTTCCAATCTGTGAGTGTAAGCAGCAGGGTGTTGTTATTTAACACCATCCCACCCCTCCCCTCCCTCACCGCCTGAATGCATGTGGTACATATAGTGTATTTTGGAAAATAGTGACTAAAGCACAGAAGACACTCTGCAACTTTTTTCCTGTTACGATGGCAGCACCGCACTCACCTAAAAAACCAAAAAGAGTGGTGTGTATGTCGCCTACAAGAGGACACGTGGAAATGCCACAGCCGCCACCATGGGCACCGAAGAAAAAAGAAGGAGTTCGTTTGACATCATTTCTCCATGAATATGCACCCGTTACTAAACGTGATTTCAGCATGTCTGAACAACACGTCGTGAGATACGTGTTTGACAAACTGAAAAGGATTGTGACATTGTACACTGTGGATGTTGAAGACGATTTTACATCACAGACGCCTTCCTTGATTTTACCGGCTAAGGATTGGAGGCTATTTTACAACCACGTGTGGAGTGATTTAAAAGAATGCTGCGATCGACCGCTCTACATTGCCGAATGGAATGGTATAATGCCGAAAACACGGTATCGTGTGGTTGGTGATCACTCTAAAAAGCAGCCTGATGACTGTGTATATTTTTTTTGCTGCAACGATAACACAAAGCTGGAGAATTATGTGTGGCCTATTCCTGAGACGGAACACCACACATACTATAAAATGAAGTTTTTGTTTCAGTGGAAGGACATGTACATGATGGACAGTATTTTTTCATGCATCAACAAGATGTTTAAATGGGCTGATATGTATGACAGATACAATTCTGTTAAGACGAAGCTATTTCATCCTGAAAAGAGTGACCCTG